GAACGAACGAACGAACGTACGTAACTACGTACGTACGTACGTAACGAACGTAACGACGACGACGACGACGTACGTACGTACGTACGTACGTACGTACGTAGTAGAGAGAGAGAGAGAGAGAGAGAGAGAGGCTAAAAAAGTTCATCAAGATGGGAAGCTTTCTGATATCAGATAAAGTTTAACTGTGCCAGTCCCAAGAGTAACTCACATACTTAAAACTAATAACTGCTCAAATCCACCACTGCTACCGGAAGCAGATTGTGATGCTAAAGGAGTACACCAACCTTCATTGGTGATTACTTCCTTCCAATGACTTTGTCATCTTGTAATCTATTTTCTTTTAATGGAAATTATTATTTGGTAATGTTAAAAAAAGAAAAAAAAAGTAGAGCAGCCCCAGATACTATCAAGAAACCACAGCGCTGTAGAAATATGCAGGTTCAAAAACTCGATCTTGCATATCTGCATGCGCATGTAACAGGCCCACGTGCATGAAATTCAAGTATGAGGCCTAGAAGGGTGCGGTTGCATAACCACGTATGTACAAGGGCATATATTCCCAAATCCTATGCATGCATGCTCATGTACGCACATGTATGTGCCCCATATTAGCACATTACATGTGAACCTCACAGTCAGAACTATGCACGACATCAGAGGCCCTCATCCTCAATGAGTTCTGAGAGACAAATCAACTTTTGCTGAAAATGTATCTTGAGCAACTCGGAGCTTATTTGATCTAAACCTACGAATTTGACAGGGATGATTCTCCACTTCCATGTTTTTGACCTATGGGCTTTCTCGAGAGGATTCTTCAGAAATCTTGTAAAAATATGAAGACATAATTTTAAGCACCACAACAACATGGTCGGACACTTCGAATTTTATTGAATCCCTGGAAATGATGAACTGAATTTGAAGATGCCCATCATGAAATGTAGAGGTAGTCCATTATATTCCCCTGCATACACATTGACATACCTGTTTGACACTTGGAAGTTGAATTGATTGCAGAGTCAGAAAGGTCAAATCGACTGTTACAAATAATACTGGTGAAACTAATCATTCACAAAATAAAAGATTCTTAACTGCATCAGAGATGCAAGGCAGTAGCCGCTCCCACAGCAAATATTTGTTGATACGATACCTCCCACAAATTGTCCCACTGGTGGAATCACTTCACTTTTGAAATGCTTCTTGGAAAAAATCAAAGAGGAGTTGCAGAAAGCTCAATGCTAACATTTTCTACTCAAGTAGTACTTGCACTTTCTCAAAATTCAGAGATGGGCATTTAAAAATAAGATAACTTTAAGAGTTCCATCACCTGATGGAGGTACAGAATTACCCATAGCAGTCCTTTTCTGGAATAAAGTTAACTTTTGGGAAATAATAGAACCAGTGTTTGAAAACAAGGACTCAGGCTCAAGTCTGCAGGGTCTTGGGCCTGAGTCAACCATGGACTCAGCAGCCAGCAATCCGACTCAGCTAAGTCTCTAGGTAAACTCCACGAGGAGACTAGGACTGCCAAAGTTATGATCTTTCCCATCCGGATCAAGCACCTCAGGTCCAGTCATTCGGGTAAGTCCAAGCCTAGGTCCCCAACTTTTCAAACACTGAATAAATCAATCTTGCGTTGTCCATGGAAAACAATCTTGTGAGACCAAGTCTTACATAAAACATGTCAAACTCCCATCTCCACCATCAGTGGCACAGCATATATGATGGAGACGATTTTTCTACTCTGCTTTACATACTAAGGCTAACTTCTAAATGAGGATTGATCATGGTACGCCATTGATAGTGAAGCTCAGGATCCTACATGTCTCGTGAAGGATTCATGATCATTTCCCATAATTAAATTACCATAATGATCAGGCTTGAATTATACCAAAAGAAATTTCTTAAAATCATTTTAAAGACATGAATAGTAACAATGAATAATGCACTCCAATTCTAGGAGGCAGAACTTTTCACCTGGATCTCTGTTCAGAGTGATCCAAAGCTTAAATAAAAGAACGGAGATCTACAACCCATATCTCAATGGATTAGTTCTCAAAAAAAATATAATAATAAAATAAAAGAATTAGTTCTCAAAAAGAAAAAAGCTTAAATAAAAGAATTCCTTGAGATCTACAACCCACATTTCTCAATGGATTTTTCATTTCAAATTGTGGTTGAAAGCATAGTTACCAAAATCTCTCACCGAAGGTCGCAATTCCAATTCAGAATCCAAATGGCTGATTCTGACTAGGAATCTTCGTGGAACCTGTTTTCGTAAAGTCTGAAATCTCGACTTCTTATTTTAGGAATCTGGATTCCAACACTTATAGAATCTCGTTTTCAATATTTACTGATTCTCGATTCTGCAATCGATGAATCTCGATTCTACATTGTTGAAATTGATTTCTACATTTACCAGAATCCTACCACTCCCCTTCCCCATCCTTTTTTTTTGTTTTTTTTTTTGAGAAGTGATGATTGAAAGTTTTCAAGGCATCAAATTACATGAGCTAGACACCCACTCTTAAGCTACAAGGTGTAGTCGTCTTTAAATATGCATTGTATTGACCCAATGGAAACATTGCAACTCCAAGACGTTAGAAATAATGTAAACATGCATGTATGGCATATTAGTCAACAAATGGCATTGAGACATGTATTGTTTTCCTCTCAATTCCAAATATGTCAAAATTTCAATTCCATAAATGAAAGAATCTCAATTCCATATTGGTCGATTCCAACAAGGTTGGAAACCTGATTCCAAAGAGCTAGGAATCTCGCTTCCATTTATGTAGGGATCTCGATTCTATTTTGGTTGAATCTCGATTCCTAAAAAAAAGATTCTCCTCCTCCATGATACCTCTTGTACGGACATCAATTGCGAAAACAATAATCTTCTAGCCGGCAGCGATTCCACACTTCCAATTCCTAAATTGATTCGGTTTCCAAATCACTTTGGGTAACTATGGTTCAGAGGATATTGAAAAAATTAGTAACATATTTTGCTTTCTTAGTGGATTATTATATTTAATATTAATTACTTCCTAGTTGTAATGGGTTTAGAATTAGTTTTATTTCTATATGAATTAGAATTCTTAGAATTATCAAATTCCTTGGACCAACTATAAATAGATTTACAAGCCAGTGGCCTAAGAGTGGATTCTTAATAAATAAAATTTGAGTTTCGATGTAGTTGGAGTCCACCTTCATAGGAGAGATTCCTCAACTCTTTTTGTAGAGAAAATGATTCAGCAACCCCACTCTGGGTCTCCCCCAAGGTTAGAGCCCCTCTTCTTGTTTTGGTTAAGATATTTACCAAAATCCTAGTCGAATGAAGTTTTCCGTGTAACTTCATTTGCACTTTTTCTTTCCCCTCCTATGTGGCACATTCCCAACCAAGATTCCTCAACCAAATTCATCACATTCAAAACCTTCAATAAGCCCTAGCCAAATCTTTCCAATACGTAGATTAGCTGAGGCTACCCCAGAAATGCACCTATCCTCTCAAACTTAAATTTAAACCCTAGCTTTGCATTAATTCAATCCTAAAATCCATCTCATCACCAGTTTATCTTGCTGCACCTCCTAAATCCAGAAATATTTAACCCCTTTCCTAAAGCCATTCCTAAACATTACCCTAACCTAACTAAATCCTTCCCCATAACCCTAACCCCAGTTCCACTTCAATTAGACCATGTATTATCCAATTCTACCCCAAATAAACCTTCATAAGACCCAAAACCCTGCTATCCTGATCTTTGAAGGAACCCAAAACCATTTAAATCTCAGTTCATCATCATCCTCATCAGAGCATTTTCCAACTAATTGGGGTCAGCTAAATCTGCATTTAAATCTCAGTTAAAACTCCTAAATCTAACTTAATTAGAATTCCAAGTAACACCCAAAATTCTTTCTTTCTACGCCTACCTTGCATTCACAATTGTGTAGGAGCCAAGGCCCTTGGTCCTACATAAATGGATCTGTTGATAGAACACAATTTACCATGCTTCGTAATCAAAACATTCACCAATATGTTTCTTCCATGCATCTCAATAAATCATTTAAGAACTAGGACAGAGTCAGTAATTACTGACCAACTTCTTTTCAGAAGTATCACTGACCAAAATTTTAGGTTTTGTGTTCAAACTGCACCAGAAGAGCTTCAACTATTTGCTTGAGCACCAGAGGAAATGTGAGCAACAGTACAGCCCCCTGCATCAAATGAAGGCCTCGCATGGCAGGTTAAGATGATTCTTCAGGCTTTACATAAGCAGCATCATTTCTTGTAACCTGACATCAAATCAAAGCCTCAATACACCAAGTTCCCAGTTACATGTGTGTATGTGTGTGTGTGTGTGTGTGTGTGTGTGTGGGGTTTGTGTGTGGATGGAAGACGAGTACCAAGCATACACTGGCAGACAAACCATAATTAATAAGCTACCCACTATTTCTCATAAAACATTAGAACTTTTTTATAGCATTTTCTGGTCCTTGCCACAACCTCGGTGGCTGTATAGTGCTCCCATTTCATGGGCAGCTATCTTTTGTACTTTGTAATTTCTTCTTCTTAATACAAGGTTAACATTAACAATAAAAACTAAAAAATTAGAACTTTCTTGCATCACATTTGTTTCCATATTCTAAAGACTTAGGAAGAACAAAGAACAATATCTGCAAGACCAAAGAACTATGTTTTTTCTCTAAGAAGTCAAGGTCTGACATGTAAGGCATCTAATTTGGTAGAAACCTTTTACAAACATTGGTTAAGACTAAGACTGGACTTCATAGAGCCATTTCTGGGTATCAAAGTAAAAAATTTATAAGCATTAGGTAGCATGAATGGAGAAACAATGCTCCCCAACGGTCTGTTGTTCACATCTAATGGTTGAGGAAGCTGCTTATATCCAACCATGATATAAACCGGTAACATAGTAAGCACTTATACGAGCATGTAATCTTTTTTGAGAAGTTCTAATTTCCTTTTTTTCTTTTTGAGAAGACCATGAGATTTAAAATTTTAGAATTATGAGATCAAAGTTTAGCACTAATACAACGATGTCATTTCAAAGTTTAGAATCAATACAACTAGGATTTCCAGCAACCAAAAACAGCGAGAGATCTAGAAAATGAAATCCAATACATAAGACCGAGAAGGTGGGAGAGACATGGATAAATAGTGACGATTTCTGCTGATGTGGGCTAGGCATAACAGATGGGGACAGGAGATTTTCTAGGTCTCAAGAATTGCGTTTGTGTTTATTTTGTAGAATAAGAATCCTGATATCAGTTTATAAACAATTATTCTAGTGACCTGCACTTAATTAAAAAAATAATTTTTCCAAAAAAGAGGAAAATGGAAGGACTAGCCAGAATCCACAAATATTGTACTTATGCCAGTGTTCACAAAGGCACCGATTTCCTTCCCCATGTACATGATGGACATTAGTCCCACCAAACTTTTGTATATAAGTCCATGATTTCCAATGTCTCCAGAATGCAAAACCTCTGAATACAAATATCTGGGGTGCATTTTCAACAAGAAACTGGTTAATTTTTCAAATTCCATACTATCAACCATTATTTATGTGGTTCACAAATACAGAATTATTTCTGCGATTCAAAATTTTCCAGCCACAATATTTATTTGGTCTGGAGACATTCACCACTACACTAGCTTGCATATAGATCAGGTACATTCTTATTTCAAACCAGCCAAGGATAATTTTGGTTTTCTTATTTGATGATGGATATGTTATGGGCAATTAGTTTACAGTTTAAAAACATTCCATATTTAACTTTGATTCATGAGCCATAATTTCCTTTGGAATCACATTCAGCCACTCACTTTTTAAGTTTCCATCCAATGCTTTTGATTCCACTCCTCAGAGCATGGGTAGCAAAACTAATAGGAAGGAAGATTTGACCACCAACAGTGTTAAGCGGATTATCATATTGTTGACCAACCAGAGCCGAAAGATTTGACCACCAAAAAGTGAGTTATAAAATATGTGCGCTTTCTTTTCTTTTTAGGTTGATAAATTCATATTTTTTATTCACATTTTGCATTCAATGTTTGTCTTTATCATTTTAAGAATGTCAGAATAAAGGGCCATGGATCTACATTTTATTTTCTGCTAGCATAATTTTTAATCGCAATAAAATTTTATATAGAAACACACACTCCTTATCCAAAATGAGTTAGCTTCTACATCATAAATTTCTTCAAAGAAAAAAAGCTTCTATGTCATAAATTATAATTATTAATTACAACTTACACATTTATGGGCATTACTATATACTTCAGATTATTAACACAATCTTTTAAATTTCCAAAATGAGTCCTGAGTGCCAGCCTAAGCCTTTAGTTGCCTTGCTTCCCACAAAAGCAATGCACTATTCTAGTTCCATTGTGAACATTGAACATTTCCAGCATGAAGCAAAAAATAGGCTTGTGACAACCCAATTGTACAGAACAATGTTAAAGCAAAACCCCATAATTTAAAGATAAAGACAAACCACCATGTGATTAGCAAAAGTCCCATTATTTCAATCACTGTCTTGCATAAAATACACTTACAAGTAATCAATTATTGAATTCCATCATAAATGCCAGCCAATGGAATGCAGAACTTGAATGGATAGCTTCTCTAAAATATTTGCTCATGAATAACCTTTACCACTAACAACCGCTCAACACACTAAAGATGGACCTCATAGATAATAACCTTGATGACTCCCCTCTGTGAAAGACCATCCACCTAATTGTGTTTCTTAAAGGTAAGCCATGGGGATCCATTCCCACTGTTTTAAAATCATTGACTCCACCTGGGATTTGCATGGGTAGATGTGACTCAGCAACACGGTGAATCTTGTTGTTTATCATACGGTTTGCTTGAGTCTTGCTTTCCTTTTTATAATTGATTCTTCCATTTTTCTCTAATGTTTTTAAAGAAACTCGGCTCAGTCAACTCAATATCACTCAGATCAGGACCAGGCCAAGTACAGAGCAGAGTCAAAGTTTAACATCATGGCTTTGACATACAAGCCCTTCAAAAGGAAAGCATCCAATTATGCTGACATTATTTTACAAGAAGCAGATGCACAATTTTTGGTTATGCTTTCAACCACTACTTCCACAGTGGGGAATATACACTTTCATTCCTCATGCACACCATGTGTCTTTTGGTTATCTATACCTTTTCCCAACATCAACAACAAATTATTCTCTCCACAGCCATCACACTTATTGCCCTCCAGGCCCACTACCAATTGTCTCCCTACACCTCACACAACACAAACATCACAAGCGTATGGTCTTCCCATTATGATGATTCTTTTCTACCAAGACGAAGAGAGATATTTAAGTTACAAGTTTCTTTCTTATGCACCAAACACAAGCACTCTATTGTCCTCGTTCCTTCCCTAGTGCCTTTTCCATGCTTAGCCCTTGCTTAAGTGATTTTCAACATATGAATTCCTCCTCCATAAGCAACCCCTTCACTACTAATGCACAATACCATCTCATGAGCATTGCAATCTACATCACCATAATATTTCTAACAATCAAGGGCTCCCAAGAATCATAATTTTACAGTTGCGTATCCACTACAACTAATGAAAATGGTCTACAGAATCTCCCTTCTCTTCTTTTTTTGAATGTCATAATAATTCTATTGGGAAAATTTGTGCATCAATTGCACATATTTTGATTACTCCCTTCTCCAAATTTCTCTTCAGCTATGGAACCTTTGAGCCACCACACACAACATCCTGAAGCATCTCTTGTTGAAACATAAGCTGCAAGCAACAGAATTTACATTTCTAGGCAGCAATTATGTTAATCAATTCCAAAATGGGCTACTACAGCTTTGTGCAAACAAAATCTTCACCAAAAGGGGTACTAGGTGAGCGGAAGCATTCTAGAAGAGGATACTCTCACAACAAGGAGAATTCCATTGACCTTATACTTGTCAACTCTAACATCCATATTCATTTCCCAAGATTAATTCGCTGTGAATAACAGTCTCCAAAGCATTTAATCACAAAATACAGGCTTAGTGCCCAGGCAACAAATCAATCCTCTTTAATATTCATGCCATTCACAAAATAACGGTGCGATTGCAATTTCTATGGCTAATGAATCACCTTCAAGACTTTATGGGGAATAAACATATGCTATCCAACAACATCCAGTTAATGAAGTTGTTTTCATTGCCTAATCACTTAGTTTTACCTTTTATTACATAAAAAAGTTATGCATATAGCACAAAGCAGCAAGAAAAAGCTCAAATTTATCTTGCCATAAATATTTTGGACATTAAATCTTAAGTCTCTTTTCTAGATAAGTAATAATTCCATTAACTAAGAAAATTCTAACATAATGGGAGTCAACCTACTCATAAATGATCACAACTTCATAAATTTATATTCTCATACTCTATTTTCTTGGTTGTCCATAAAGGATACACATCCCGGCGCATGTCAAAAATGTTTGCTATTTTATCATTAAATCCGTCGAGGACGTTCTCAATTAGCTTCCCAATGGTCATTGTAGCAGATAAAAATCCTTTCATCCATGCATAATGTGTACGCCAACCATGGCTTTTCATATGGTTGCAGTCATCACATATTCCAATTTAATATTCCAAATAAAGACATGACATTAACTCAAGAACATGAAGAAATTTCCTAGATCTCGAGAATGGTTGAATCTCGGTCTTAGGTTCCAGACAACAATTTTACAATCCTCCCTTTTTGATCTTGCCCAAAGAAAAAAAAACTAGCCAAGTAGTATAATTCAATGAATCAGATACAACGTACCATGACCTCACTCAAGATCATTCTCATTCCCATGAGAGAGATCCAACCCCATGCAACTTTAACAGTTTAACTTCGTGTTAAGAAACACCCCTTCGAGTATTCTGTGTGAGAGATTCTCTGTATGAAAATAAGCACAAAACCTTTCTGTTGCCTGAAAGATATTATCCAATGTGCCCCTGGCAATATTCTTCCTTCCACTATTATAGAATAAGGGGAAAATAAGTACACGTTTCTCCCACTATTACCAAATAACAACTATTTGGCAGTGGTTTCTAGACAAGCAGGTTTCATAAAGCAACGGATGCAAACGACTTGCAGTAGTATTGCCACACAAGCGGAGGAAGAAATAGTATGGAACACATTTAGTGATCTACCCAAAGGCCCTGAGCTCTCACATAGTTAAGCACCGTGTTGTCTGGGATGATTTACCAAAGAGAACTCATGCGAACATGATCTGAATAATGCAGTGAATGAGAACTTAGGTTCCTGAAAAGGACAACTATAATAGCTTACAAGTCAAGATCCTCATCACCTTATAGCATGGCAGTGCATGAATCTTCTGCTCAACCGTGGCATTGTGGATTCAAAACTTAGCTTATCCATAAGAAACATTAAATAAAGTGACCAAGCCAGGATTCCCTAAGAAGTTCCCAATTGAACTAAGATCTTGATCATACAATTCTTTTTCTTTTTTCTTTTAAGATCCGAATACTATGCCTACTAAAATTTTAAGATATAATAGATGCCGTTAGTGATTACTCTGAAAATGTCATTAGGCACAGATAACATCATTCGCGAACTTTTATAAAAATAAAAAAGGAAAGTGCATCATGTTGTCAAGAAATAAAATAAGAAGGGGAATTTGCTAACAAGAGCAACCCAAATCATCCGTGTAATAATTATAGTTTTCCAAAGAACACAATCTTAGAAGTACATTCAAATGAAATGCTTCTTTACTTACCTTGGCAATGCACCCTTTCAACCTCTGTGCAATTGATTCATCTAGTGCTCTCTCAGCAAGCTCATACATCACACAATTTCCTTCTGGACCATTAACTCGTTCCTTTTGCAAGTATCTACACAGCACCAACACAGTACAATTGAGTTTTTTATGGCCAATATATTTCAGAAGAGTTTATTTTATGAATTATTCTCTCTATAGATGCAAAAGTACAATTGAGAATTTTATCACCAATATATTTCAGAGGACTTTATTTTATGGATTATTCTTTCTATAGATACAAACACTATAGCAATAGCAAGTTTGCGCACAAAATGCAAATAGTCAATATACTTTAACTCTAACCTTTGTTGGACAAGAGTGTCCAATGCCGAGCTAACATTTCCAAATATCGGATGATGTTCCTCACTTCCATCCAATCCCAATTTTCTCATGTGTTGCCAAAGGTTCTCTGTGACACTTTCACAGAAGTGCAGTCCACATCAACAATGCCATCAAGAATGAGAGAATTTAGTAAGTAAACATAAAGAAACCCACCTTCTGGAATTTTGCCTCCTGCAAGATGGATGACGCTCAACACTGCAAAAGTGAACCCAGCAAAATGAGCAGTCTCTTTGTTCTCGACATATTTACTATAGATTTCAGATGGTAATTTGCTGATGAGGACATATGATTTTGCATCAGCTGCTGCGGATCCAATGTGATGTTATACATGTATCAGATATCAAAGTAGAAAAAAAGGACAAAGTGAACAGTCTCTTTCCTTTTGGCTTATTTAATCGAGATATTGCTGGGTTATGCAATTTGACATAAACTTTTCAATTTTGTAACACTATATCAATAAAAAAGAGAAAATGTAGGGAAAGATACATGACACTGAAAAAAAAGAACCATGAAAAGAGATTGGTGGTGCAATTCCATATGAATTTAAATAATGTGACATAATTATTTCTAATGCTTTTTCATATGATAACTTTTTTGTTTAGATCTAAAGAGAATGAGAAATAATACTAATAGATAGTAAAAAAAGAAAAAGAAAAAATAACTCACCCTGCCGAGAACCACAGCCCTTATTGTTTGAAGAGGAGCGCAAGCGTTGAAGCTCTCTCAATTCATACCCAAAAATGCTATTGAGCTTCATTCGTGCCTCATTTATCACAAGAGATGGAAGTTGTCTCTGACGATAGTTTTTGGTTATCAACTGAGCAAGCTCTTCTCTTTTAATGGGAGCACCCGAATTTTGATGATTTTTAAATAGAACATAACGAATTACTTCAGATACGAGCTTGTCCTTCTCCTATAATATTGCAATCAAGCTTACAATTCAGTAGAAAGATTCATCAGAGTTATCTAAATGTAGGTTACATGAAAATGGCAGTGAGTCAATAAACCTCTATAGAGACATCAATTTGTGAGAGATAATCAGCATCAGCAGTCTCCATTCCTACAACAACAGATCCAAAGGCAGTTCTTTGAATGGTGAGGAATGTTATTAGATCATGCTATCACAGATAATTCACTTACTCTAAAAAAGTTATCAAAGGGAATTCAAATACCCTAAAACAAATTATCTGAGAGAAACCATGGAAAAAAGGAAGTGATTCACTGATCAGAGGGTGTAAAGAGAGAGAGAGAGAGAGAGAGAGAGAGAGAGAGAGAGAGAGAGAGAGAGAGAGAGAGAGAGACGACGACGTACGTAGTACGTACGACGTAGTAGTAGGTAGTAGTAGTAGTACGTACGTACGTAGTACGTAGTACGTACGTACGTA